ACCCCTGCACTGGTCATTCAGCCGTTTGGTCTGCTGTTTCGGTCAAGTTGCATATTAGGATTTTATTATATAGGATGATATTATCCTAACATGTAAAAACCTAGGGTCCATAACATCCAAAACAACCAAAGGCTCGACTGACCAGAAGTCAGTGCTGGGTTGCCATGGTGACCCAGCACTGACTACCGAGGGGGCTGCAGATCAGGCCCAAAGAGAAGCCTGGAGAGAAAAGCAGAGTCTGATCCGTAGCCTCTGTGACAGCTGTTGATCAGCACTTGCCTCTCTCTTGTGCTCCAGGTCTGGCCAACAGCAGTGCCTCTCTTTCTCTTGGGCCTCCCCTGGGGCTGCTGATCAGCCCCGCCTCTCTGATCAAGCCCGTTGATAGGCCCAGAAACACTGACTGGCATATAAACCGACCAATCAGAACCAAATCTGGGTGAAGTGTGAGGAGCCAATGGCTGCCTAGGAGGTGGAGCTTTTTATGCTGACCGGCATAGAAACCGACCAATCAGAACCTAATCTGGGTGAACTGCGAAGGCAGAACCTAAGGTGGGGGCTGAGGAGGGGTTTTAAGGGCAACAGCTGTTTGGTGTAAGGTGTAAGAAAGCACTTCAATTTTTTAATGACCGCTTTGGCAGTATAGTGCATATGGCTGCCTATCAGTCCAGATATAGGAATTATGTATTTTTGTCTGCCAAGAGCATCTCCTCCTGATGAAAAAGGCGTTTCCCCCCATTTAAGCAATCCTATCCTATATAATCTACCTATACTACTAAAAGGGTAATATGCTAATTAGACTGGCTCAACCGGCCATCTTCCAGGCATCTGACTTCCTTCTGGACAAAGCCATGGTGGTGGGGGCCGAGGCAGAGGCCATTAGGGGCAATCAGGACGGCAGGGGAGGCCAGTTGGGGGCGAGATCAGGCTGGCAGGGGAGGGCAGTTAGGAGCAATCAGGCAGGCAGGTAGGTGAGCAGTTAGGAGCCAGATTGGGAGAGGGATGTCCAACCTCTAGTGGTCGGACATCCCCCAAGAAGTCCCCAATTGGAGAGGGTGCAGGCTGGGCTGAGGGGGAACACCCCTGCCCCCGTGCACAAATTTCGTGCACCGGGCCACTAATAATTAAATAAAAGTTTATAGCTAGCACTTTGCTATTATGTTGTAGAAAATAATATTTCCTATTCACTACTCTGTTGATATGGATGTGGGAAATTCCTTCAACTGTGATTGCATTGTTGTACATAAAGAAAGTGAAAGACTGCTCATAGACTATTCAACACTTTCTCAAAAGGCTGCTTGGCTACTTCATACCACTTTAGTGTATAATGACAAAGTTTATGGAGGATTATTCCTGTCAAAATTCAACAGTGCCTTCTCTGTATACTTTATGTCAATAAATAGCTAATATTTATTGAATAATCTGTATGTTAATAGGAATGGTGCTAAAATCTTTATAAATTGTCTCATTTAATCCATTAATTCTTGCTCAGTGAGGTAGCTTATTATCAATCTAGTTTTACAAGATTGGCCTAAATAAGCCTGAGATTCTCTTTATAACTTGGATATTGATTTGAAAATGTTAAATGTTTACCATTAATTTGTATCTACTGAAGTGTAGGCTTTGCTTTTTAGGACCAGCTTGGCTATTCTGAAAGCCTCATTTTCTCAGGCTAGCCACAGTTCTGCAATTTTTTAAGGTTCTCTAGATTTAGCACTAAATTCAACTCATCAAATTCTTTCCAGCCATCAATGAACATAATACATCAGCACAATTTGCAGTTTAAATTCCAAGAATTAAGTGCAATTGGCAGTATCAACAGCTGGAGGAGGAGGGGTACCCTTCGTCTTCTAGTTGAAATTTCTGCTTTCTCATTAAGAGTCCAATGGGATTTACATAATTGCCCAAATTTATAAAAATCAGTTTTTTTTAACCTAGGCTCCAGGTAAATAATGATATCCAATTCAGCATTGTATAATTAAGGCAGGTTTTAAAATGCAAAACAAAAGAAACAGTAAACACTCCCCTCAAACTTCAAATATAGAGATTATTACAATTAGAAGATGATGATTAAAATGGTGATGATAATTATGATACAATAAGGATCAATTTACTTTTGGTGAGGAATTCATTGATTCACTTATAGATTGTATATGAACTGGGATTTTGCAGTTGATTTGAAAGCACAACACAAAACATATGGCAGCTAATTAAATCATGCTGTTTCATATTATTGCTTAACATCAACTCATCTTTTCAAAAGTTAAATTTTCATAAGCTTGGCTCTTCAATGTTCCCTGAGAGCAAGAACTGTGTGATTTACATTCCCACAGTAATCCCTTGGCATATAGGAGACCCAGAAAGTATGAGATTGATTGATGTTTGTAGAAAATAAATTTAACTGATTAAAAAAAAACCCAACACTATAATACATCAAACTCATTCAGATAAAACTGAATCACTGTATCCTTTCAAATTGACACTGATGTGAAGAAAATTCTTTATTCACAGTTCTAGTGCTGTATCTTTCTATATGATATATTGTTTTTATAGGATATATTCTATACATAATTATAAAAACATAAATTTATGTATATGCATTTAATTTAGTCTCATCAAAATACTCAAAGTTTTAATAAAATAATTATGATTAAAAATGAAATAGTAGCCAGGGTAAAACAATAAATAGTGCTTTGGTCAATCCATCTTCAATAAGCAAAACTTGCTATATTATATACTTAGTATTAAGAAGAATTTGGGGAAATTTTCAAATTTCTTAGTTAACTTTGCATTTACAAAATTAGCAAGAAGGGGATAGGGATGCAGAAAAAATTTACCATTCAAAATATATTCAACTGAGATCTAAATTTACAAATAAATTTTCTGTCTTGTTATTTTATATTGAGCCCCATTAAAAATAATGCTCACTACCTTAGTTAGCCCCAACCTCAATTATTAAGAAAATATAAGCACATGCAGAAATGTGTATGGAAGAAAAGTAATTCCAAAACCTGGGAAACCCAGGTCCCGGGTGCCAGAGGGAAACTGGTGCCGGCAGCCAAGGAAAGGAAGGCCCACTCTGGCATGAATTTTGTGCATCAGGCCTCTAGTAAAACTATAAAGATGAAATAAAGGATTAGAATTGCAGTTTAGTTTATTATAAGTAGTATGGTAGATATACCATACTACTTATAATAGCATGCACATGTCATGATTTTAAAAGTATCATAAAATATTTATGTGTATTTAAAGATAAATTTTTTAAAAAAAATTTAAGCACTATCTAGTGCAGGGTAGGAAGGACTCTCAGCTTGAAATAATGAATGATGATATCTATTGGGTGCACTACGTGTGCCCTGCTTGGGCCACTCAGCATGAGCTCCAAAGCAATCTTCAGATGGCTGCTACTTGTGTTGGGCTTGGAGGTGCCCAGGAGAGGCCAAGCTGTGAACCAGGGTGGGCTGCCCCTAGTGCTGGTTCTGGAGCATACTGAGGCCTTGTTTGAGAGATTTTAGGAAAGTCCGAATCATGAGGTAAGAGAGGCCAGTGGTATGGAAAAGCCACTGGAAATGGCTTGAATGAGGCTGTAAGTAGGGAGGGGCAGGGTCTCAAGGAATCACCAGGGTTGGGTGAAAAAGGTGAGGCAGGTTGATGGAGACTCAGATATGGCACCTGCCTGCTGGGCCTGTGGTGGGGATGCTCAGCAAAGGAACACTGGCCCCAGCACATCTGCCCCTCCAGCTCTCGCTCCGATACCAGACGAGTTTATAGTAAGGCTCAAAGCCTTCATTCTCAAGTGTCCCAGGTTATTTTTAAGCTGCTGCCCCAGCGCAGGAACTCAGACGGAGTGAGTTGGAATAAGCCCACGTGCAGGCCCTTTAAGAGGAATCCTGAGCTCCAGCAGCTTCTCTGTCATTCAGCCACAATCCCCCCTGGTTTTTACAGCCCCAAGTTTTAGGGTCTTCTATTCTTGGCTGGGGGGAGGGGGAGGTAGCTGGTGTGGGGATGGCCCTCCTCGCTCCTCAGGGAAACCTCCACAGCCAAGCTATCCCTCCCGATTTTAAACTGCCAATCGTGGGTGTGGAACCATCTGGTTCCGAGGTTCCGACCTATGTCTCTGACTTTCGACCAGTCTCAATATGCTTCTTCTTTAATTCCCTGGTTGTGGGACTTCCATTCAGCTAGATTGCAGGTGGTTCTGAATGATGGTTGTTCTGTATTTTAGTTGTAATTTCAATGTGGTTGTGGGAGGTGGCAAGTACTGCATTTACCTACGCCACCTTCTTGACTGGACCTTCTCTTAACATAAGAAATAAATTATTATTTTAATGGTTTTGTGTCTGAAATCACTTCTGATGTAAGTTTTAGCAATCTAAAAAAAATGGTTCTTAAGAAATAAAATTGAGCCCTCGCCAGTTTGGCTCAGTGGATAGAGCATCGGACTGCGGACTGAAGGGTCCCTGGTTTGATTCTAGTCAAGGGCACATGCCTTGGTTGCAGGCTCGATCCCCAGTAGGGGATGTGCAGGAGGCAGCCGATCAATGATTCTGTCTCATCATTGATGTTTCTATCTCTCTCTCCCTCTCCGAAATCAATAAACATATATTTAGAAAAATAAACTGAGTACTGTAAAACATGAAGTATATAATTCATTTTATTCTAGGCCTGGGGTAAAGCTAATACTTGAGAACTAGGGCTTTGAGCCTTACTGTAAACCAAGGATAGCAGTAACTAAGTAAACACATTCAGTTTGCAGTTTCTGGAGGAAACATACAACAGGCTATCACCAAATAGACAATTTAGCATTTTGTCAATACCCGAGAGTAAAATGCTAGTTTCAACTAAACTTCTATCAAATCAGATCAATCAATAGGGTTTATAATGCCAGTAGTTCTATTTTATTGGGAAATCAATCAACCAAGATATTAATTTAAGCTCAGGCTTTGATTTTATTTTCACTCATCTCCTGCTTTAGATTGTGCACAAAAGCCAGTGTGAGTCGGGAAAGAAGGAAGCTGAAGCAGAAAATACGCCCAGTGTGAACTGCAAGATGTGAGCAATCTTTTAAGTATTAATATATTGTTAACAGATATCCTGAGTGGTGGTGAGTCCTCTTAGTCCTTGATGGGCTTCCTTATTACAGTTTGTTTAGGATGCATTTATTTATGTACTTTTTAATTCACTTATTTATTTTTCTAGCTGTCAGCCTTATTAGTTTCAGCACCAGAGATACATGAACAAAGTTAAGCTATAAATTTCTAAATTTTAATATGAAACACATTCTACCAACTCATCTAAAACTGCCGCCAAATTTCACCATCAGCCACTATTTGAACTGAATTGAGTCAGCTGCTTTCAAGATGCCAGATTCCTATATCTACCCTTTTCATGTTCTCTGACTCCCCAAAACTGAGTCAGTTATCTCCTTAGTCTGATTTCTTAGCATTTTGCACTTTCCCCAGTCTTGGCTTTTGGCCTTTTCTTCTAGAATGACAATGCCTTCAGAGTCCGAATAATGTCTTTTCATTTACCATTGAATCAACATCTTACAATAGGACTGACATAGAATGGGTGTTCAGTAAATATTTATTTCAAAATAGGAAAAACATATAATTACATACTTTTAATAATCAGATTAATTACTTAGTAACCAAAATTATTGAAAAATAAATTCAATCTTATAAGTAGGAGATTTCAAAACAGGAAGAATTACATTTGAAATATTAGAGTCATACTATCTTAATTTTAAAATGATTTGAATTCATGTGATGTATAGAATATTGTTTGATGAATTAAAGTGCTTTCATCTTTAAAGGTCCAAAAATTCAATAAATATATTTACTAGAAACCTTAGATTATTGTTGGCACTAATAAGTACTTGCCTACATATGCACACACACAAGAAACTTGGCGTTCATAATATCCAGCCCTTTTAATGCTGTTAAAAGTTTAGGAGGGAGCTTTTCTGAGATTAGAGCATCTAGAAACTTTATTCCTTGTCTTTTAATCAAAGGAAGGATTCATTTCCAAAAGCTGTCCATCTGGTTCCTTTCATGAGCTCTAAATTTACATGATAAAAAGGCAGAAATATAATTAATATATTTTTTCAATAAGAGACAGTTTTAGGCATGTGCTTCAGCAATAAATTTTGAACGCTTTGACACATCTAATTTTGAAATCTGTGTCTCCACCCTGAGAGGATGAAGGAGAAGGCAGGGCCTGCACCCTTCTGCTTATGAGAAGATCTTTTAGTGATCTATAGCTGCAAACCATGGGAGGAGAGTTTCAATTTTGCTCTTGAAACATGTATCAAGCCCTATTGCCAACACATAGTCTTTCCTGTCACACATTTCACTGATTCTAAATCAGTGAAGGAGCTGTCTTCTGGCAGCATTACTGCATTTGAATCTCTTCACTTTCAAATCCAATCTGCAATTGCTAAACCTGGCGATCTGCATTTCAAAAAGAAAAAAGAGGCAGTGGCAATAACAATATTATGCCATTAATATCCCCAAGAAGTAGACTGACTGGGAAAAGGAACTTCTACAGTGGAGGGGGAAATAGCTATGAGAGAACCTCATAGTATGTTTTCAAAGTGGAAAGTCTGGTAGAGGAATAAGATCAGATTGTCAGTCTTTCAAGGTCAAATGCATTGATTTCCTTGCAAAAGGTCATTAACAATACCACCAGTGGCAGATTCATACAAAAAGAGAAAAAAATATATACAGTTTTTGGAAACTTAGGACCTCTGAGTCATAAATGCCAGATTCACTAGTAATTGTTGTATGACAAACCACTTAATTTAGGTCGGCATTTTCTGTAAAATATTAGACAAGGGTTGAATGTATCTAATGAAGTTTTGTGGTTAGTGCCTGAATTGGCACTGGGAGGATATTACCGGAAGGAGGCTTATAGTCTGGGGGTTTATTCTGGCTCCTTTTCCACAGATAATGGATGCCTATAAATAGAAAACTAATCTTACTGGCTAGCTGTTCCAGATCTTGTCCAACATGCATGTCTAGGATGTTAGGAGTTTAAAGGAAGCGTATTGGTAATGGTTCTTTTGGAAGTTTCACATAATGAAAAATAAGGTGCATAGTAAACTAGATTCTTCTTCACTGGATAATATGAATTGGTAAAAAAAATAGATTTGAAGATAAGTATTGTTGTTAGAATATGATTATGGGAGGAATACAGATGGCATTACACAACCATGCCAACTTCATACCATGAGCTAATCAGAGTACATATGTGTGATCCCAGTTGGACATATTGACTGGGGAAATGACCAGTGAGAATAAGAAGGGAAAACAGCCGAGACCGGTTTGGCTCAGTGGATAGAGCGTCGGCCTGCGGACTGAAGGGTCCCAGGTTCGATTCCGGTCAAGGGCATGTACCTGGGTTGCGGGCACATCCCCAGTAGGAGATGTGCAGGAGGCGGCTGATCGATGTTTCTCTCTCATCGATGTTTCTAACTCTCTATCTCTCTCCCTTCCTCTCTGTGAAAAATCAATAAAATATTTAAAAAAAAAAAAAAAAAAAAAAAAAAGAAGGGAAAACAAAAATAGATTTTGCTCACTTTTAAAATCCTCTTACATACATTTTTGGTAATTCAAAATGTTTGTGTAGAACATTCGGGGAGTTATAGTTAGCAGCTTATTTCCAAGTAATGGCAAGTGATTTTCTCTTAGGGCTTATAAGGTACAGATCTAACCATCTCAGTTTTCCATGTCCAGAGAACATTATCAGTCTGGTATGGAAACAGGATTTTTAATATAGGCGATAGCCCATCAGGGAAAGACACACATTCACAGAAATTTGAACTCAGTTAACCTTGGCCAAGGGCAGAGAAAACTGATAAAAACCTAAGACATTGCTAAATCAAAACCAATCTTACTGATTAGTAAAGCTACCATATTGAAGAAACGGGTTTTTTTTCTACATTTTCTAATGGCTATTTTTTTTTTAATCAGACAGATTAAGATGTATATATAAATCAACCCTCTTTCAACATGTGATCCATCAGCTATGTTGGTTTTAAAAGGTCTTTTTCCTAAAATTGGCCAAACATAAACAGTACTTTAAATTAGTTTTTAAAAATATATTCCCTGGTTCCCATCGTATACATGTTGAAACTGAATCCAATGGGAGAAGATTGGGAATTTGTATTTTTTTTTCCAAAAGAATGTTAAGTAATATTCTCAGACATGTTTGGGAATCACAGTCCCAAATTATGACCTGAATCGAAGCCCATTTTGTAATATCTGTGAGCAGTCAGAATTCCACATTTTGAATAAACCATATTTACTTTTCTATATATTTCTCGTACTGAAGGGGAGCTAATTCCTTTAGGTAAGTAAGTGACAATTTGTGTTCAAAATGCTGATATTAGAAACTAACATAGTTTATGGCACAAATATTGCATAAGCTATATTATTCATGAAAATCATAAGAATAATGATTTGGGCATTCTTTGGATTCAATATGCAATTTTTAGCAGATGTTCCAAGTGACTTGCATTTCCCTAGTTAACCAAATTACATGCAAAAATGTTAAATTAGGTTAGTGATCTGTCATATTATTTTAATAGCCCTTAGTATACTTATGGGATATTTTTTTTATAATCTTGTGTTAATTACTAACTGCCCTATTCTTGGAAGAAAAGTAAAAGATGAGGGCTAGGAACAATCTAGAGGTTTTGGCATTTAGTTGGAATGAGTCTGATATTTGTTGCTGTCTGCCCTTATGATATTAAATGCATTTACATACACATTGCTATAAAGTAAACAGATTTTTTTAAGTGGCAAAGTATGATTTCCCTTCCTGATAAGCTATTTCCCAAACATGTCTTCATAAAATAAAATATTCCAGTTTTGACTGTAGTTTCTTCCCAAAATTTCCACATTGTCACTTACAATATGATATAAATATTTATTCCACAAGTCACTGATTGGTTAATTCAAGATGTAATTGCAAATTTATTATGGGTTAAGATCTGGGGCATATAAATCATCGTAATGATGAAGTCATAGTGGAGGGAAAAGATGTGGGTTTGCCTCATCACTTCTTTATCGTTAGCCGTTTTCACAGCAACTCTCACTGTGCCTGGTGCATAATAGGCACTTGGTTAATATCAAAACAACAAATGAATGATCGAACACCAGAATATGTATGATTTCATTTTGTATACCTTCAAATCCCCCTCTTGAGAACATTTCAGGGTTTCTTAGTAATATTATGCATACGTAAGGGGGAACATATTCCCTAAATAGAGAGGGAAATATAATAAAAGGCAGGTGAGGAAGATTATTCCTACTCTTAGGAACAAAACAGTCCCTGGAGAAGAGAATAAAATACAGAGTGGGCAAAAGTAGGTTTATGGTCATAATACAATAATTAATAAATAATACAAGAATAAACTGTGGTCCCCCATATTATTGTTTGGTAATGAAAGTTCTCATGGACACTTGGGTAAAATGAGAAAATGGTCTATTTGAGAAATATATCACATAGTAGTATACCTGGGGTTTACGTAGGTTGAAGAGAGCTAAGTTAGTAAGGTGGACCAGCAATTTTCATCCTTTTTCACCTCATGGCACACATTAATTACTAAAATTCTGTGGCACAACAAAAAATACATCATAGTTTTTGCCAATCTGACAAAAAAACTAGGTATAATTTTGATTCGTTTACAATGGATGGCTATTATTGTGTAGACTGCTGTCATTTTTTAATTTGACAATCTAAGGAAAAAGAGGCCAGTGCCCTTGATTGCGTTGTCCGGTATTGCATGTTTTAAAAATTCTTGCAGCACACTAGAATGGAGAACGTCCGGCCTGAGTGTATAAGGCCTGAGAAATCATTTGGTCTGGCCCTGCCAAGATATTAGGGGTGAGTTAATTAAATGTTTGACCAAATATAGCAGGCTACTTTTTAAGTTGATAATTTTGTATGGCCCTCGAATGATGTTATAAATATCCAAATGGCCCTTGAGAGAAAAAAGGTTCCCCACCCCTGCTCTAGAGGATCCTGATTTAAACAGTATAAATCAT